TGGAGCTGGAGAAACACAGCAGGCCAGGCAGCATCAGAGGAGCAGAGTTAATGTTTCGGGTTCAATAACCCTTCTTCAGAATGGGCCTTTGATGACCCACATCTGACTGCAGGATCATGGCATGGGTGGCAATAGTCTATGTAGGCTTCACGACAGATTGCAGCAAGGATACTAATGGTGGGGGTGGGAGAATGATGCAAATATCCCAATACAGGTTATCAAGTATCTGCTCTATAGAGTCACTGCCACTCCCACAGCCATCCCAACCATCTGCTGGAGGAAGCATGAGGTCCATAGTCACATCAGATTTCAATCCATGACAGGCTTATAGTGAGTTGGACTTGAGGTGGGACATAGCAGAGTAACTCTGTATCATCCTCATTCCCGCCTCCAGGGCATTGTGGGTCAACCCACAGCAGGTGGACTGCAGCGGTTCAAAAAAGCAGCTCACCACCACCTTCTCAAGGGCAACTAGGGATGGGCAATAAATACTGGCCAGCTAACGATGCCCATGTCCCATGTGTGAATAAAATAAATGGCCTTACTGGGCAGGATGGCGCAGACACTGTCATTGCTGTCCCCATGACTCTCAGCATCATCTGCTCATCATGTTAATGGGCTGGAGTCTAGGTGGCCTTTCATAAGTTCTCGGATCCTGTTCATGTGTGACTATCTCCTGCAAGAGAAGGCAAATTGTGCAGCCCTGTTTTTGGATGATATGCCTGGCACCAGATGAATATCTGGAGATGAGTGGTGGCAGCAAGAGGGACATGTTAAGTTGGTCAACTCAAATTGTCATCATTGTTTGTGGATAAGGTGGAGGGTGAGAATGTTAGGTGTGAAGCCTGTGTGCTGGGTATTGATGAGTGAGTGTGGGGGTATGGTCCACTGAAGAACTTGAGATGCTAGTGGACTTGAAATAATGAATGGTGTGTGTGCTTGTATATTTCATGCTTGGCAATGAAATGTGTACTGTAATTTCGAAAGATTAATTTGAGTAGAATTGTGCACAAACTGACTGACGATTATCTCCATTTCCAGTGCAAATAAAATGAATAAAAGTAGATGTCTTCATACATCCTTGGTTTTAGAAAATTAGTAGCAGCTCTACACGTGTACTTTCACTTCACCTTATCTTAGCCCATTGTACTTGATAAAGAGACTTCTATATCATAATTCTGCCAGTTCTGTTGTCTTGATGTTGATAGGTTGACACGTTGGCTCAGTGGTTAGCATTGCTGTCTCACTGTGGCAGGGACCCAGCTTTGATTCCAGCCTTGGACGACTGTCTGTGTGGAGTCTGCATGTTCTCTCTGTGTCTGTGGGGATTTCCTCCAGGTGCTCAGGTTTCCTCCCAATGACGCACAGGCTAGGTGGATTAGCCATGTTAAAGTGTCCATAGTGTCCAGGGATATACAAGCTAAGTGGATTAGCCATGAGAAGTGCAGGTGTGGGGTAGGGTGTGGGTCTAGTTGGGATGCTCTCCACAGGGTCAGTGTGAACATGATGGGCTGGGTGGCCTGAGTCCACTCTGTAGGGATTCTATGGTCATTAAAAAATTGTCATATCTGTTGTTTATCATATGCATTTACAACAACTTTTCTTGCTCACGATAATGGATCTTGTTCTCACTGAATAGCTCTATTAAACCTTCAGAATATTTTTTAAGGCCTAAATTTATATTATTTGTTTCATTGCTGTGACTTTAGTGCGATCACACCTGAATACTATGTATAGTGTACATTTATTAAAGAATGTAAATCCACTGGAAACAGTTCAGAGAAAGCTTGCTAGACAAATAATGGGAATGGGTGATTTATGTTGGGAAGATAAGTTGCACAGGCTGGGCTTCTATCGACTAGAGTTAAGAAGAGTAAGAGGTACCTTGCTTGGTACACATAAGCTCCTGAAAACTATTGACAGAGTGCACATGCAATGCATGTTTACTCATGTGGAAGAATTTAGAATAAAGCGTCACCGTTTAAAAATAAGGAATTGTGCATTTAAAACAGATGCGGAAAGTCTTTTTCTCAAATAGGGTCACGAGTCTTAAAGGTGGTGAAAGTAGAGGACATGAATATTTTTATGACAGAGATAGAAAGATATTAGTTAGGCAAAGGGGTGGCAGGTTAGCAATTACAAGTGTAATGTGGAATAAATCAGATAAGCCGTTATCTTACTGAATAGTAGAAAAGACTCAAGAAGCCGACTGGCCTCAGCCTGTTCCTAACTCATGTTTTTGTAAGATCCCCTCTACCCGCTCAATTTACTTTACAGGAAATGAAGCAGAAACAATAAGTTCACAACTAGTTTGTGTTGAATGAAGTAAAATCTGAGGTCCATTTCAGAAGCAGAATTCCCTCTTATTTCAATACCAGACCCCAAAGGGATTTGGAAGGTTTGTTATAATGAAAGGCTGGATAGGCTGGGACATTTTTCACTGGAGAGTAGGACATTGAGAGGTGACCTTATAGAGATTTATAAAATTATGAGGGAGATGTCTTTTTCCCCTGGATAGGGATTTTCAAGACTAAACATTTTTTGAGGTGAGAGGGGAGAGATTTAAAAAAGACATGAGGGGCATTTTTTTGTACACAGTGGATAGTTCACAAGTGGAATGAACTTCCTGAGGAAGTGGTGGATGCGGGTCCAATTACAACGTTTAAAAGACATTTGGATAAGTACACAAATAGGAAAGGTTTGGAGGGGTCAGCAGCAGGCAGGTGGGACTAGTTTAGTTTGGGATTACGTTCGGCATGGACTGTTTGGACCAAAGAGTCTCTTTCCGTGCTATATGACTCTATAACAGTGAAAGCCAGAGACTTGAATTAACAGCTGAGCTCGATGGCACAACAGTTATGAGTGGTTTTGCCCACTTAACCTCATTCTCATAAATCATTTAGTGTCAAAAACTTCTTCAACACTTTCACAAATAGTCAATGATATTCCAAGGATATGAGGTACAGTCTTGGCCAATCCACCCTCATGATCATGATTGTAAAGCAAATCTGACAGATATGAAGAAACCATGATAAGGCTTTGAGCTAGTTATAACCTCAGAATGAAGATGCTGAAGGAGAGAATCATACCGGATCATAGATTCATAGAATTCCTGCAGTGTGGGGATTTGGCCCATCGAGTCCACACCGACCCTCGGATGAGCAGCTCACCCAGAACCACCCCGCCATCTTATCTCTTTAACCTTACATTTACTAAGATTCTTTGTTACAGGCCAACTTGGTCCACATGCCAAACAGTCAGCACTCTCCTCTTTGAACACATGTTGGTTTTCCCCTTGAAATGTTCTGATAAGGGGAAGTGATGGCCTTGTGGTATTATCGCTGGACTGTTAACCCAGAGACCCAGACAATGTTCTGGGGACATGGGTTCGAATCTTGCTGTGGCAGATGGTGGAATTTGAATTCAATAAATATCTGGAATTAAGAATCTAATGATGACCATGAATGCATTGTTGACTGTTGGGGAGAAACCCGTCTGGTTCACTAATGCCCTTTAGGAAAGGAAACTGCCATCCTTACCTGGTCTGGCCCACATGTGAATCCAAACCCACAGCAATGTGGTTGACTCTTAACTGCCAGATGGGCAATAAATGCTGCCTGGCCAGTGACACCCACATCCCATATATGAATAAAAAAATAGATGAAAAGCTTTCACAAAGTATTGTTCTTCCAGGAGTACTTGGTTCAGTCACCTAGATGAACAGCAGGTTTGTGATACATACTGATATCAGCTGGGTTCAGTTCCTACACAGATGGTGCCAGACCTGCTGAGCGATTTCAGTTTTCATCACTGTAATAAGTTGATAAAGAAAACTGTCCACCTTGCAGTGATGTTTTGTGGGAAAGACAACTGACCTCCAACACTGACCCTTTTTCAGAAAGAAGGGTCTGAAGAAGGGTCTAGGCCCGAAACGTCAGCCTTCCTGCTCCTCTGATGCTGCTTGGCCTGCTGGGTTCATCCAGCTCTCCACCTGGTTATCTCAGATTCTCCAGCATCTGCAGTTCCGGCTTTCTCTGACCTCCAACACTATTTGTTAAGACATAGTCTTGGGAAGGGCAACAGCAACATCATCCATAACAATTACAATAGAAGTAACAGATTAGATTTAAAAACTTTACATGCCTTAAGTAATTGAAAGCACAAAGCAATACTTTGGAAAGCAAGGTTTAAAAAGACAGTGATGGAAACAGGTTTAGTACCACAGGAAAGGTGCAGCATGGCTTTAACAGCCATTGGCTCTCTCACACAGAATTAATGAGTGTGACATAAAGGCCATTCAACCCACCATAAAATAATGCCTGCTTTCTTTCTGACAAAGTGGAATTCTACTGCTTCCTCCCTGGAAACTTTTCAAATGTGAAAGTCTTGATTGAACCTGTGCACCTCCTCAAATCACTTTAGATTCTTTTATCTCAGTCAGTTCAAAACGTAGGTGCCAAAGAAAGCAAAAGAAACAAAATTTGGGTGTTTGAACCAATGGCAGGTGAATGAAACTGTTCAGTCAAGAAGAATGGGAACACTGAGCCAACTCATTGAACCTGACTGCTTCCCCTTCAGAGATAGTAGGAACTGCAGATGCTGGAAAATCTGAGATAACAAGGTGTAGAGCTGGATGAACACAGCAGGCCAAACAGCATTTTAGGAGCAGGAAGGCTGACGTTTCGGGCCTAGGTAACATCAGCCTTCCTACTCCTGTGATGCTGCTTGGCCTGCTGTGTTCACCATGTTATCCCAGCCTCCCCTTGAGTTCCTTTGTGGAAAAAAATGCAGACAGATCTGCGCATGCGCAGTACTTACAGGACCGTCGGTGCAGGCGTGACGACGCCTCCCCACAAACCCAGCGCTGCGCACGCGTACACGTGAAGAGCCGTTGGAGCGGCGAAGAGGGGGACTTGCTCGTGCGTGTCGGCCATTTTGGACGTGGCGTGGGACGACGCGCCCCCTGTGCGGTCGATGGGCGGACCTTCTCTGTCCCGGCGTGCAGCGCGGCGGCTTTGACTCCGATCGGACGGGCCAGCCGGCGCCATTTTGTCGGTGTCGGCTGCGAAGTGGGACGGAGGCCGGCGCCCCTTTTTTTTCTCTCTTTATAGAGGCGGGTAAGCTTCGTCCTTTTCGGTGGCGGCGTCTGTTGTGCGATTGTTTCCCCTCCCCACCACTGTCTGTGAGGGAGAGAATTTGGCTGAAAATGAGCAGTGTGTATTTTCGCGGGGGTGGTGAGGCGCTCGATAGCGGAGCGGGGTCGCTGATGTTGGGAGGATTGAAATCTCGGCCTAGGCATAAAGCCTCGGCCTTGGGCACTGCCACACACCATCTTGTGGCATTTCGTTGTCTTATCAGCACTTCCAGGAGCTGTCTTAGGTTAAAATCTACTTCTCTTCAGACGGAAGCAATTGTTTTGCGCTGCGTTTTATGTGCTGTGCATCTTTTAAAATATTTACCGTACTGCAACCTGCGCATTTCAGATTCAACTTTGTATTTTGAGATGGCCGTCAGCTGTGTTTTATATATGTACTTGTCACCTTTTTTACGATATGCCCCTGCTTTCGAGCATTTTGCTTTCGTATGTTTTCTTGTGTCCGGTTTTGCGAGTTTCAATGTTCAATATCGTCGAAAATTGTGTTCCCTCGATCTTCGATTTGTGCTATTGTAAAAGTGGAATTTATGCAGAATCTATAGCGTAAAAGCAAACGCTTGGACCAACTGGTCTGCACCAGAATTTGTACCCAACGAGTCTCCTCCCGCTCCAGTTGCCTCTGCCAAATTCTGTATTTCTATTCTGGTCGCTATGTGACAGTTCTATTTTATGCAGTACCAAGTTCTGCAATCAGCACTCAGAATTCCTTGTTCATTGCTTTGTATATTTGTATAAGCCCCCAAGGCTTCACTTAACCTGCATGATCAAAGTTTCCACATCCGCTTGGTTGATCTACTTCATTTTAACCAGTCTGTTTAGTATAGTCCTTATTTTTGTACCCAAAGAAAGAGATTCAATTTCTTTAGACTTTTCTGGTGGTTACTTGCTCGATTCCAACAAATTGTCTTCAGTAGAGTCATAGAGATGTACAGCTCGGAAACGGACCATTTGGTCTGGTTCATCCGTGCTGACCAGATATCCTAAATAAATCTAGCCCCATTTGGCCCATATCCCTCTCAACCCTTCCTAGTTATATACCCATCCAGATGCTTTTAAAATATTGTGATTGTAGCAGCCTCCACCACTTCTGGCAGGTTATTCCATACATACACCACCCTCTGAGTGAAAAAGTTGCCCCTTCAGGCACCTTTTAAATCATTCCTCTCTCACCTTAAACCCATGTCCTCCAGTTTTTGACTCCCCAACCCCAAAGAAAAGACTTGTCTATTTGTCTTATCTATGCCTCTCATGATTTTGTAAACTTCTATAAAGTCACCCCTCAGCCTCTGACACTCCAGGGAAAATAACCCCAGCCTATTTAGACTCTACCTAATGCTTAAACTCTCAAAACCTGGCAACATCCTTGTAAGTCCTTCCTGAACCCTTTCCAGTTTCACAACATCCTTCCTATAGCCAGAATTGCATACAGTATTCCAAAAGTGGTCTAACCAATGTCCTGTACAGCTGCAACATGACCTCCCAACTCCTATGCTCAATGTGGTGATCAATAAAGGCAAGCACACCAAATGCCTTCTTCACTATCCTATCTACCTGTGACTCCACTTTCAAGGAACTATGAATCTGCACGACAAGGTTCAGTAATAATTCCCAGGACCTTACCATTAAGTGTAGAAGTCCTGCTGTGATTTGCCTTTTCAAAAGGCTGCACCTCACATTTATTTAAATTAAACTCCATCTGCCACTCCTCGGCCCATTGGCCCGTCTGTTCAAGATCCTGTACTATGAGGTAACCACTCTGAGGTCCACTACAACTCCAATTTTGGTGTCATTCGCAAACTTACTAACCATAACACCTATGTTCACATCCAAATCATTTTATATAAATGATGAAAAGGAGTAGACCCAGCACTGATCCATGTGGCACACTGCTGGTCACAGGCCTCCAGTCTGAAAAGCAACCTTCAACCACCGCCCTCTGTCTTCTACCTTCGAGCCAGTGCTGCATCCAAATAGCTAGATCTTCCTGTATTCTGTGATTTAACCTTACTTACCAGTCTACCATGAGGAACCTTGTTGAACGCCTTACTGAAGTCCGTATTATTCACGTCCACCGCTGTCGTCTTCGATCCTCTGCGTTACTTTTTTAAAAAACTCAAGTTAGTGAGACATGACTTCCAATGCACAAATCCGTGTTGACTATCCCTAATCGGTCCTCGCCTTTCCAAATACATGTAAATCCTGTCCCTCAGGATTCCCTCCAACAATTTGCCCACCACCGATGTCAGGCTTACTGGTCTATAGTTCCCTGGCTTTTCCTTAAATAGTGGCACCACATTAGCCAACCTTCAGTCTTCTGGCACCTCACCTGTGGCTATCGATATGCACATGTTACCAAGAGGCCCAGCAATCACTTCCCTAGCTTGCCACAGAGTTTTAGGGTACACCTGATCAGGTCCAGGGGATTTATCCACCTTTGTGCTTTAAGACTTCAATATTCTTTTGTAGTGTGGAGATTGGAACTTCGTTATACAGTATACCAGGTGTATTCTCAAAAAGTTTCTAGATTCATTTAAAATTCCTCCTTTGCTTTCTTTCCCATACCATTTCTTTAGATAGAATCCCTACCTATTTTTGCACTGGTTAGTTTTTCTTTCATGGATTGGGGGCATCATTGGCAATGCCAGCATTTGTTGCCCATCCTTAATTTCTCTTGGACTGCGAGGCCATTTTGGAAGGCAGTTGAGAGACAACTGGTGACGTTGTGGGTTTGGAGTCAGTTATAGGCCAGACCCATTAAGGAGGGTGGATTTTTTTTCCCCCTAAAGGACATTTGTCAACCAGACCATTATCAAGTTGATTTGCTACTAGTATTTTGTCAGATCTCGTCTCATTTAATTTCTTACCTTCCAACAAAAGTCACTCCTTAATCCTTTCAAGAATCAACCACCTCACACTTCACAGTATTGAATTTAATTTGTCATTGTACACATGCTGATGACTGTCACAGAAATACAGAAGTGTCATGGTGCTGCAGGAGGCTGTTTCTCCCAATGTCTCCACCAGCTCACCAAATGAGGCTAATGACTTACTGCCATTCTCCTGCCTTTTCACTGTTTTTGCACATTGTTTTTATTTCTGTTTGTTGGCTTGTATTTTTGGTATAGTTGTCAATTTTTTTGACCCTTAATGTAGCACATCAGCAAACACATTTCTAAAGCTGACAGCCACAGATCAACCATACTTGATGTCCTACATCATCAAGAGAATCCTCCCTTCAAAACCAAAGTGGAGCCTTTTACCCATCTCCAACTTCTCGCTTCACTTGCATTCCTCTCTCTGACCTCGTGCCATCCCTGGATCTCTATTGCAACTGCTGGCATGACATTGGTCATCCAAATTTCCCTGCTTCCCATCACTCACTGAACTCAACATATTTCTGCCTCAGTGCAATTTTAACAACTTCATCAAACCGGTGATAGATGTTCTTGTCTGTTGGACGGATCTTTACCAAGCAGGGGCCAAATGTGAACACACTTCCTGCCACTATCAAACATCTAACTAATGTATCTAGGATTGTCACAGACATAATTTTCTCTGGAGATTACCCTCACCCTCTCAGTTTGCACCAGGTTGTTGCCTGGGAGCAGTTTAGCTGTGGAGAGAGGCTGGATAAGCTTGGAATATTTTATCGAGATCAGAGAAAGGCAAGAGGGCACTTTATTGAGGCAAATAATATAACGAGGAGCATGGACAGGGTAGGTGGAATGTAGTAGCTCTCCTTAATTGAAGGAGATCCACCACCAGGAGAAATTGAAAGCTCACCACCTTTTCCTTGAATGCAGTCTCGCTCAGTTCTCACTCTCCATTATTTTATTGCGCCCACTGAACTTGTTCTTACTCTGAACAATTAGTCTTTGTGTTTGTGGCCACTGCCATCACCAGGTGGAGCACTTCTTGCATACAGTGTTACTCTTAGACTCCCATCTGCAGTAATCTTAAACGAATGTAAATAAGATCTTCAGGACTAGAGGAATTCAAGTAACTTTGAGAACAATGGTTCCAGAAAATTTAGTGTAACCCCAATATTTTCTGCTTTCAATGCTACATTTCCAGCATTTTCTGTCACCATTTACTTTTTACTCGGTCACATTCTGTTTTGGTGTCATTCTGTAGTTCAGCTCTTTTGTCCATACTTGGATCGAGGCTTTAATGAAGTCAGAAGTTGAGATTCAGCAAAACCCAGGCTAAGTGGCATTTCTGAAGAAGGGTCTAGGCCTGAAACGTCAGCCTTCCTGCTCCTCTGATGCTGCTTGGCCTGCTGTGCTTATCCAGCTCTACACCTTGTTATCTTAGTGGCAGTAAACAGGTTATTGCAGTTTATTCAATTGGCATTGTTATTTCCTCATTCTTTATTTCTTTGCTGTCTTCTGTCATTTGACTGTTACCCAATATCATTTCAGGCTTTTTTTTTGTTTTTGTTGATGTTTCTTTAATCCTGAACAATATGAAAGTTGGGGCATTTTCTTTGCACAGTTTCCATAATGCTTTTTTGAGGCAAGCATAATACTTAGTCCAGTAATAGGTAGCTGAGCATCCAATTTTGCTTGCAGCCTGCATCTGTTTCCCACATGATAAATTCCTGTGTTCATATTGGTAATGGAAATGGATTATGAAAGGTGGTTGTAATAAAGTCTCCTTAGTCAAATGTAAAATGGTTTAAAAAAATGAGGACCAAATGATTTTGGATTAGGGTCTGAATTATGTATGTGTAACCTTGTCCAGTTATTCCTTGGCTCAATCTTCATTAAATAAAGGGTTAAACAGTAAAACGTTTGCAAACATTGATAGTTCACTATTGGATTGCTATGAAAGAATTTTGAATCTGGAGTTTCAACTGAGCAATCTGAAGTTGCTGGTCTCTAAACGTGAGTTGGAGAACTTTACTGAGTAAAGTATTAACATGAGCGCTATCACTTGGCTTTGTTCCTGTAATTTGTGTACTTAGATTTATTGAAAATTTACCCATTTTTGCTTCCTCCTTACATAGTCAATAGTTGGAGAACTTGAGGTTTTTGTGTAGCGGTTTCCTGAGTTTTTTTTCAGAAAAAGATATTCTGCAACAATTAGTGAAACGTTTTACAGGATAATGATAAAATCTGAAAGCTGTTTTGGTTGTGTTTTTGTTGGAGAATGGGAGGAAGCAGAGAACTGAGTTGCTGTACCTTGAAAGGCAATTTGATTTTTCTGCTTACTTTATCTTCATATTCGTGTGTTTAGAATATTTTTCTTCTTCACTGTAGATTGCTACTCAAAAACTTCAGAAGAGTTGAGTCTGCAATAATCCATAACAATGGGCTACGATAAATATGATAAACGGTAGGAATGTATTTCTATTCTGATGTTTTTTAATCTCTTGTCTATGCATGAATTTAAGTATTACATCATTTGTCAAGGAGAGGCTTTGCTTACCTCTATAGTGCTGTTAAAACACATTAACAGCCCATTTTAAAACACATCCCAGTATTTGGAAAATACTTTATGCACTTTAGGTATTTATGATAGATGAAAATCATACTGTTTATTTTACTGATCTACGATTAGTTGTTATTATGCATTCTTATCTGTCCTGGCTTGACCAAAAAAGAAAGATTGGTGTGGTCCATAATTATCCTCTTCTGGTTATTTTACTGCTTGATCTACTAACGTCGCAGGATAGCAATGGAACTGAGCCTTTGGGAAACCCCTGATCTTAATATGTACAAATGCATTTATCTAGATTGAGTATTATTTTGAAGTGCTTTAGAAACATTAGTAAGTTGATTAGATGTTTCTGGAGAATATGAAGATTATAGAAAGTCGTCATAGGTCCTGCCAAACACTTGTGCCCAAATTAAAATTCTCTTGCAGAGCTAATGCATGTTATGATTACATTTTTGTAGTGAAACCAGTCGAAGTGAGCGGAGTGGCCGTTATGGCTCTGAATGGAACAGAGACGACCACAGAGAGTCACGGGGTAGACGCGATTATGACTATAAAGATGTTGATTATCGTGCTCCGCCAAATCACGGCAGGGACTATGATCGTGATAGACGTCGCAGTGACTATCGGAATAATGACCGCTATCAAGATTACAGGAACTATGAGAATTCTGAGGTATGTAATCCTGCTGTTGCAAGATTACTTGATCTTACTCACTTGCAACTGGGTCATGGATAAAGTTGTGTCTGTTCAGACGATTGAGCCCTCTCAAAGGGCAAATGGATTCCCTGTTTCCATTCACTTCTGTGTTAGATATCATCGCCACGATGGGAACCAGGCCATCAATGATCCTGCATATTTTATTTTGATCTTGGCATGTGGCTGAAGATGTTAAAGGTGTGGGAAAATGAGGCCTCTCTTGTTTGAAGTGGTGGTTTTCAGGATGTTGTCTGTGAGTAAAGATGTCAACATAACTCTGGGTGCCCATGTCCTGCTGTAATCTAACAACTTTATTATAAGCGGGCTATGAAAGGAATTGAACATGAGTAAAAAGCAAATAAATGCATTGCTGGCCTTGTGGCAGTAGGCAACGTCATCAAAGCAGAATTTGTAGCTGATTGGTCTGTGGCTCTTTTCTGGAGGATGTTCTGCAGTATGTGCTGTGTTGATTGGCCACTGACACCACCCACCCGTCAATATTCTTTATATTGGATTCTGGGAGATTTATGTTTTGACCTGGCCTGTGTTTTGCTGAGGTTCCTTGTTACTGTGCTGTAATGCATGTTGCGTTTATACTAATGTCGAGGACTGTCATCTCTGTGTAGGCATCCTGTCTGTATCTGATTGTTTCCTGGAATATGAATTGTTTGTGAGTAAATTTTACTCCAATTTTGTTTATGATTGAGTCCTTTAATTGCTTTGTTTCAGAGGAGCAGCAGCCTTAGTATTTTCAATTTTTTATATACAGACCAGCTGGTGTGAATTCTGTCCACTCCCTGTGACAAAAGTTCAAAGTAACCCATTAATTTGTGAAACACAGCTGAATCCATGAGTGTTGTATCCTGAGTTTATAAATGTTAGTGTTTCAGGTAAAAGTCAGTTGACGACAGGCTCCATGTGGGTCATTCTGCTTAGTCCTCTGATCCCATAATGCTGCAACCACTTACTCAGTGAAGTGTCAATTATTTTGTTCCTTTATTTTGGAGTTAACTCTTGGCTAGTCTACTGCATTCTGGATCCGGACATCTGATGTTGATCTTACTGTAGCATGCTAAAAATATTTAAGCATTAGTTTTTCAAAACTCTTTTACAAATGAATATAATTGGATAGTTTAAAAAACTAATACCATAATAATTAGTTTGTATGAAGGTGTTAACATTTTGTTGTGGTTAGCAGAGAGCATTTTTCTTGACTTTCAACACCTGTCATAAGAGGGTGGCAAATGAAATCAGCCTGGCCCTGGAGTTCCATGTGTTTTGTTTTAAATTTAACCTATTTTTCTGATCAAACTGTTCAGAGATGTTATTACACACCTCTGCAGTAGGTGGGACTTGAACCCATGACTCTCAATCCAGAAGTAGGGATACTACCACTGTGCTATGTCTTTGAGGGCGATGTATTTGGGTTCAGGTGGCAGTTTGGATTTTAATATGGTAGTTTAAAACATGAGCTCAATTTGAGAGTTCTCTTGGGTCTGTCACCTGCTTAGCCCCAAGTTTAATCCCCACATTCATTGGTTGGTATTGTATGTAGGCATAGCGTATCAGCTGTAGTATGCTGTGGTTAAAATAAAAATCGAATTAGCACATTACGCTTAAAATGTGGTCTGCACGTCTTCGTGTTTATCACATCCTCGCCAGCCCTATTGCACCCAAGTGTTATGCAATGAACGTGTATTTCGAGGGGCAAACCACTTGTGTGAGGAAAATGTTGCTTAATGCTTTTTCACCATTCAAACAGACATTACATTTGAATTGCACATGCCCACCATCATGGATATTTTGTACAACAAACAAAAATGTCTCTTCTTCCAGAATTGTGAAGATGACAATAGATTTGAAAGACCTGAGGGAAGCCAGTACTA